GGATCAAACAATGGGGTCAGGGAGCGTGGTCTTCCGAGGCCAGCTAGGTTAAAGGATGGCAAGTGCAGTGAGGATAACAGAGCAGGGTCTGGGGTGACAGCACAGAGCCCTGGAGGAGGAGGCTTCCTGGGCTGCGTCTGGTGGGGCCAGAGGTGAAGGCGGAACAGCAGAGTTGTCCGAGTGCCTCAGGTACGATTCCTGGAGCAGCAGCAGCAGCTCCCTCAGCACGCATTAGGAATGCAGGTTCCGGGTGCACCCCTGGCTGACCAGACCCTGGGGTGGGCCTCGCCATTGCCCTGCAGGGGTGCAGCGCCTGGGGAACAAGCTTTGAAAAGCTCCCCACGTGCTGGCCGCATGACCCAGCTTTGCACACACATGCCTGGGATGCCTGCATGTATTTGCGTGCACTTGTCTGCACAGGCGTGAGGGCCATCAACGTGTGCCTGTGTGTGCACAGATGCTACGTGTGTTCAGCTGCACACAGCCCTTGTCCCCAGGTTGTGGGCCTAGGAAGTCCAGAGACCCGTCTGGGATGGCCCATGTGACCGCCAGCCCTGCCCGTGTCCTTTGCAGAAGAGGCCGTGAACGAGGTGAAGCGGCAGGCCATGTCGGAGCTGCAGAAAGCCGTGTCGGACGCAGAGCGCAAAGCGCATGAGCTCATCACCACGGAGCGTGCCAAGATGGAGCGGGCCCTGGCCGAGGCGAAGCGGCAGGCCTCCGAGGACGCCCTGACGGTCGTCAACCAGCAGGAGGACTCCAGCGAGGTAGGGCCACCCGGCCACGCTGACACCCTTCCCCTGCCTCGGCTCCCGTGTGGTCCCACGCCACCCGCGTGAGGATTCTGAGCCTCCACATGGCATCAGCACAGTTATCACGGGCGTCCTGCAGCAGGCACACCGTCCCTGCCCACGCTGTGCTTATCAACACACAGATTCCACATGGTTTGGTGAGATGTCCTATGGGTGTCCCCGTTCTGTAGATCCAGAAACGGAGGGCTCAAGAAGGTTGGCTGCTTGTCTGAGGTCACGGCCTTGGGAAGTGGTGGGGCCAGGACTCAAACCCAGGTTGGCTGATGCTGAGTTGGAGTTTCACTCTTGTTGCCCAGGTTGAAGTGCAGTGGTGCGATCTTGGCTCATTACAACCTCCGCCTCCCGGGTTCAAGCGATTCTCCTGCCTCAGCCTCCTGAGTAGCTGGGATTACAAGTGCCTGCCACCACGCCCAGCTAATTTTTGTATTTTTAGTAGAGACGGGGTTTTGCCATGTTGGCCAGGCTGGTCTCAAACTCCTGACCTCAGATGATCCACCCGCCTCGGCCTCCCAAAGTGCTGGGATGACAAGCGTAAGCCACCGTGCCTGGCCAGAAACCCCTGTTCTTTAGCCTGTGAGAGCAGGAGGATCCAGGAGAGCTTCGAGGGCCCCAGGTGGCGTCCGAGGCGCCCAGCTCCCTCCCGGTGCACACAGCAGGCCTAAGAGTTACCTTGCTTGTGCCTGTGCACCTGGGAGGCAGGTGGGGGCAGGGACCCTCTGCGACCCTTTTCTGCCTTGTCCACAAAGAGGGGAGAGGGAGAGACCCTTTCCAGGGGAGCCCCAGGACTGTCCCTTGAGACAGGGCAGATCTCTGTCCAAAGCCCCTGTGTGCATCTGTGCCTGGGCCAGCCCCGGGGTGGGAGAAGATGGAGCCCCATCGATGCAGGGGTCTCTGCACCAGCCCTTTCCACACATGCTCTCGGCTAGGGAGAAGCTAGAACACCACGGGCAAAACTCTCACAGAGCTGGCACTTGAGTGGGCACAGAGAAGGAAACACCAAAAGCAGAAGCGAGGAACGTGGGCAGAAGCGAGGCGGGCAGGCCGTTTCGGGGGCGGAAGTGTGTGGGGAATGGGGCCGTGGAGGCCTCATGGCAGGTGACACCTGAGCAGAGGCCGGGAGGGATTAAGCTGGCCACCAGGCATCGGGAGCGCAGGCCCAGTGGAGGGACCGGCAGGGGCCAGGGCCTGGAGTGGGGACCGTGCCTGGCAGTGCCCGGTCCACAGGAAGGCTGCTGCTGCTGTGGCAGTGAGGGGAGGTGGGGTAGGAGGTGGGGTGGGAGGTGGCACCAGAGGCTTTGGAGGCCAAAGAGGGACCTGGGCTTCTCCCCTGGGGCAGGTTGGGCTTCCCACCCCACAGCTCAGCCGTCTCTGTGAGATCCAGCCCAGCCCCAAGAAGAAACATGCTTAGGCTTTGTGTGGCATCCGTGACCCCCTCTGCCCACAGGGATGCCTGGGGCACAACTCACCCTACGGGAAGGGAGCAGAACCCACCACAGGGTGGGGGCAGAGGTGGGGGGGTGCAGCAGGGGCAGGGGATGGGACAGAGGTGGGGAGGGAGACTGGTGGGGGGATGCAGCAGAGGTGGGGGATGGGGCAGAGGTGGGGAGGGAGACGGGTGGGGGGATGCAGCAGAGGCGGGGGATGGGGCAGAGGTGGGGAGGGAGACGGGTGGGGGGATGCAGCAGAGGCGGGGGATGGGGCAGAGGTGGGGAGGGAGACGGGTTGGGGGATGCAACAGAGGCAGATGGTGAGATCTCAGTGGCCTCAATTATGCTGGGGCCATGCCCTTCGGTTTTGGAGCCTGGTGAGCTCAGGAGGGCTTTCCGGAGAGGAGGCAGGGGTCATCGTTCAGTTAGCAGAGCACAAACCTGTCTGGGTGAGCTGGAGTGTGAGGCACAGTAGTAGGACGCTGTCCCCCAAAGTGGCCCAGTGAGCGGCTGTATCTGGGGAATGGCCCGAGGGCTGTGGGGCTTTAGAGTTTCTCTCTTCTCACCTGTTGATGACGTGCTGGGTCTGAGTGGCTTGGCTGGAGCATGTGTTGGGGATTCGGGTGACCGGACCCAGCCCTGACTGGCCCCTCTGCCCCCACCCAGAGCTGCTGGAACTGTGGACGGAAAGCCAGTGAAACGTGCAGCGGCTGCAATGCGGCACGCTACTGCGGGTCCTTCTGCCAGCATCGGGACTGGGAGAAGCACCACCACGTGTGTGGCCAGAGCCTGCAGGGCCCTGCGGCCGTGGTGGCCGACCCGGTGCCTGGACCGCCCGAAGCTGCCCACAGCCTGGGCCCCTCCCTGCCTGTGGGTGCTGCCAGCCCCAGCGAAGCCGGCTCTGCGGGGCCTTCTCGCCCCGGCTCCCCCAGCCCGCCTGGCCCACTGGACGCCGTGCCCCGCTGACCCCACCAGCCCCCGGCCTGCTGGATACAGCACCGTGCCAACCCCACCCAGCTCCAGGCCCGCCAGATGCTGTGGCCTCTGACGCCCGGCCGGCCAGATGCTGTGCCCTGCCTGGCCTGGGGAAGCCGACCAATTAGAGTCACTGCTGCTACTGCCCCTCTCCAAAAGAAGACACAGAACCAACAAAACCGCATTCAATGCACCTGCCTCAGCTACCTAATGATTCTGCGCGGAGACCTCTTGACAACCTCTCTTCAAGCATCCTCAGAAGCCTCAATGAGCTTTAGACAGCAGAGCGGATGCCGCGGGCGCGGCAGCTCTGCCCACCTCTCTCTCTTTTCCTCTCTCTCTGTCTCTCCCTCTCTGTCTTCTCTATCCTCTCTCTCTCTCTCTATGACTATCACACACTTTCTCTTCAATGAAAAAATCTAATTGGTGGCTTATATTTTCAGCAAAGAATTTTGGGGGGTTTTGTTTGTTGGCAAAAGAGCTACTCAGAAATGGACAAAGAAAACTCTGGGGGTTCTCCCCCTCCTGATTAAAAAGGGAGAAAGAAAACTGTGATTTTATAGCCGGAGATCTGAACCCAGCTGTGCCCCTCCCCCAGGGGCGTGAGGCTGATTGGCGAAGACGGGAGGAAAGATTTCAACTTCTGACTCAAGAAGCATTTTTGGTTTCAGATTTTTTTTTTCCTGTAATGTTAAACTCTTTGGCTTTAAGTAAAAATCCAAAAAGTTTTTTTAAAAAAGCAAAGGAAGCATACTTGTGAACTACCTTGCTAGCTAGCCAGCCAAGGATACCGGACACACCTCTGCTCCAAAGGAAATCCAAAAAAGCAAACACAAGAAATCAAAATCCAAAATTTGTCACTGCCAAAGTATGTTTTTCACTGTTTTACTTGCCCTTGGGTTTGTTTGGATGTGGGTCTTTTTCTCTTCTGTCCTGGTTTTGTTTGTGGGTGTCGGGATATTGGGGTGCAGAGGGTTGGTGCCCAGTGAGAAACGAGTTTTGTTCCCTTCCGCGTAGGCGTTGGTGCGTCCGCCGCGTGTGCGCGGTCTGTGTGCCGTCGCCGCGGCCTGCGTCTCCATGTCTGTAGGGAAGGACACGCCGTCTGTCCTCACGCCCCCTGTGACTTTTCATACTTCGTTTTTCCACTTGTGGAAAAAAAGTGCTAAAGTTTTCTTCCCAGAGAGAGCATAATTCCGAAACAAAACTGTGACAATCTTTTGGGTTGATTCTCGACTGCTTTTCAAGCACGCGGAGCCAGCAGGGCTCCCTGAAACACGGCTTCTCAGCCAGCCCGTCCTCCTCTACCTCTCTCCTCTCTGCGCCCTGCAACCTCTCTCGGCCCCATCGCCCCAACCCCAGCGTCTCACTGCAGCTACTCCCCTTTCTTCCAAACTTTTGCAGAAAAACAAAACAAAAAAACTACAAACAAAAGCAGCCCTCTGCATCCTCCCCAGGAAAGACCCTGACCATGTACATAGCCCTGGTGCTCCTGCCCTGCCACCCCTCAGATGCGTTTGCCTCTGGCCCTGGGGTGTGTCTCGGTGACGTTTTCTATCAGACATGCTCCCTCCCACCTTCCAGCCCTGCCCATCCTCCCTCCATTCCTCTCAGCTCCCTCCGCGATTTCAAGAAGGAAATAAAGGGATAAAGAAATTCATGCTTGCACCGAGTGCAAGGACAGACAACAGCAGGCGCGGCCCACGGCCTGGCATCTGTGTGCGTGGCTATCAGGAGTTCCAGGAACTCAGTGCAATACCGGAGTGACCCAGCTACTGAAGCGGCCGTGAACGGCCCACGAGAGGCCCGAAGCCGAGAGTGTACGTTAATGTGAATGTATATAGTCTTTGCAGAGGTCCAAATAATATTCATGATGGTAATAAAGAAGAGATGTTTGCCAAATAAAAAAGAAAAAGTTAAGAGAAACGTGGGAGTTTGCGAAGTGTAGGAAACAGATTTTCAAAGGAGTCTGAGCTGTGGCCCTGAGGGGAGGAGCGGTTTACCTGCTGGTGGTTCTTCATGGTTGTAAAAGTTCCTTCTCTGAGCATCGTCAGGATGGATCCCATCGGGTCACCCCAGCCAGGTCCTGTCTGGAACCAAGCCTGACAACAGAAACCTCGTTCTGAAAGTCGAGATAGATCGAGTGTGTCCTCCAGACAGTGCCCTGGCCCCAGCACCACCTGCACTCCTCAGTGACAGGCCCAGCAAACTCCCTGAGGTTTGCTTTCGTGGGTTTCAGAGAAGCAAGGGCCAGTCTGGGATTTGGGCTCCGTGTTAAAGGGGCAGAAGCCCGGCTCTCCTTCCAGGGCTGCGGTTCTCCAGCTCCGAACCCACACAGCGGCGGTGGCAGCGGACACGCCTGTGCCCACGAAGGGGACCTGCCTCCCCCGGAGATAGGCGTCCTGGGACTCTTCTCATCTCTCTCCCACTGGGGCTCCATCTTGTCCCCACCCACACTGCAGTGCCCTTCCACGTGGGCAGGGCAGTTGGCTGTGGTGATCAAAGGCTCTAGGGAACAGGAAACGGGCACGGGACTGTGGGGTAAATTGAGTCAGGCCCTCCAAGGCTGTGTGGTCCAAGGCTGTGCGGGTGAACCGGTGGCAAGGGGACCCATGGGCAGCTTCCCTGGTACTGAGCCCCGGGGCAAGGGGACCCATGGGCAGCTTCCCTGGCACCGAGCCCTGGGGCAAGGGCAAGGGGACCCATGGGCAGCTTCCCTGGCACCGAGCCCTGAGGCAAGGGCAAGGGGACTCATGGGCAGCTTCTCTGGCACTGAGCCCTGGGGCAAGGGGAACCATGGGCAGTTTCCCTGGTTACTCAGGTCCCTGGGGTCAGGACTGGTGGGGAGCGTGAAGGAGACACTAGTTTACTTTGTGGGCAAAAGCCTCCTCTCTTTCCCTCACCTCCCTCAATCCTTCTTTGGGGACACACAGGGATAGCAGCACGCTCACCAGCTGGCTGCATCAGTCTGGCCAGCAGCCTCCAGGGGCCAGACCACAAGGCTCAGGGTGGGACAGGCCCTCCCACCCCAGCTCTCAGGAAGGGGTCAGCCCTCGAGCCAAGGATGAATGCCATCTGCCCCGCGTAGCCCCCTACCATGCACCAAGCCACCCCCGGCGCGAGTGCACGAGCTGGCGTGAGGACCTGGCCAGAGATCAGGCAGATGGAGCCCCACGGCCGACAGCCCCATGGAATCAGGACGGCTGGGAAAACTGAGGCCTGGAGACAAGAGGGGGATGTCCTGGGTGCGCTGTGTCAGGGCCCCCTGGGCGGGTGTTGGCCGGGTCACATGAAGTAAGGCAGCTCCTGCCCGGGGAGGCTCTGGGGTCCCCTCCGATGCTTCAGGGGCCCGCCTTTCTGAAGCTCATATGCCCAGGCCCTGGTGGCCAAAGACCTCACGGCAAACCAAGTGGAACCCATAGCTCTGGGGTGGGGACAAGGACAGGCGGCATTTTGTGTTTCCCCTTGGTGGCCATGAACACCCGTGCCCATGGTTCTGACCTGCACTCTGCACCTGCGGGCATCTGCCTCTCTTCTGCCAGGCAGAGGGTGGTCTGGACACAGGGTCTGGGCAGGGGCCACACCTGGACTGGGGAGATCGCCCTATCTCTGCCCTGTCTCTGCCCCCTGCCCGGCTGCCACCTCCACAAGTTCACAGATCACTGGCCAGAGATGCAGCCTGCCAAGCTGTCCTCCCGCCAGCCACCGTCAAGACAGGACCATGGCACGCCAGACGCTCTTCAGAGCCTCTTCCCCAAACCCCAAACCACCCCCACGCGCCCCCCTTTCGTGTCCTGTGGCCATCCACACAGCCGTCCCTCCATCCCACCCCACCCTCTCCACCCACAGACCCGAGGGCACCAGCTGCCCCCTGCTGTGTGCCAGTGACCTCAGCTGCTGCCCTAAGGGAACCTGTTGGTGGGCGGCAGCCCCTCCCATACCCAGCCCAGTGCAGGACTGCTCAAGACACTTTCAGGGGCAGATAAAATTCTGCTACAGGTGCTGTGAGCAGGTGGGACCAGCATCTTGCAACAGCTCTGGCCAGTCGGGGCCACCTGGAGCTTGAGGTGGGTGGCCGGGGGCCAGGAGCACACACTGGGTGGCGGCCCGTACACGTGCCTAGGGTCCCCGACCAGGGCGCCAGGGTGAGCACGTTCCCTGGCAGAGCCGCGACGCTGGGGGGTGGGCTGCCCTCTCTCCTTGTTTCCAGGGGTCAGTGCCTGGAGGGGGTGTCCTTAGGAGAGGAGGATGGCCCCATGCAGCCTCCCTGAGCCCCCAGCACTCTTGGAGCCCCACTCCTCGGGGGGTACTCACAGGTGCCAGGCTCCCATCCCGTTTCCTGGCTAAGAGTTGAGTCCTTACCGCCTGAGACTGGGGACTTCTGGGAACAGACCTGCCTGGATGAATTCTGCCAGGAGTGGTGGGTGCTCCCCAGGATCCTCTGCAGTCTCCCTGGCCTGCATCCCCGAGTCCCAGGGGCCCATTTCCTCCTTCACTGCCCTGCAAGCTCCCACACTGAGGGGGCACTCTCTAAAATGGGGCTGGGGCCACAGCCCTGGATGATGAGCGTGCTGGCTGGAGAGGAAGACAGTGAGGAGAGGGGGAGTCCATGGGGCTGGTTTCCCACAGGTCCACTGGCGCCCGTGCACACTTCAGAGAGAAGGCGAGCATGCTGCTGACAACCCCTGCTCTGTTTTCCCAAAGTTCTAGGAAACTCCATTTTGGACACTTTCTGTTCTTTATGTTTCAATCCAGCCAAGCCCCAAGTAGCTTCCCAAAGACCCCGAGGAA